TCCCCTGGGTTTACTCCTCAGTAGCATGTGTGTGTGTGTGTGTGTGTATCTCCATTAGAATGATATCATAAAAGTCAAGGAATCCACACCAATTCAGTTGTGCATACCTGAAATCCCAGTGACTTAGGAGACTGAGACAGAAGGATCTCAAGTTTGAGGCCAACCTCTGCAAATTAGCAAGGCCTTCAGCAAGAGCATGTATCAAAAAAAATTTTTTTTAAAGGGGGATGGAGTGGAGTGAATGGTGATAGAGCACAGTGGTAAATCACCACTAGGTTCAATCCTCATTACAAAAAAAGAAAGAAAGACTAGTAGTCAGGGAACCCTCCTAAACTTAGAAAAGTGTAAAAAGATGGAAATAAATATGAAAAAGTAAATTAAATAGAAGATAGCAAAACAAAAGAAAGTACAAGGAAGTAAGATTCAGATGCATCATAGTTCTCAGAAATTTATTTTAGAAGACAAACAGGTAATACTGTCAAAGCACAATATTTTCCATAATACTTTCAGAAATTCATAAAGTGTATGTTATTCAATAACACAGTTTGTAAGAAATAATAGAACTTGCCAAGATGTACAAAATTATTTTTTTCAGAATAATGACTGCACATTAATCTTTAAAACAGTCAGTAGAAAATTGATCCCATTAAACAGTGTGATTAAGAAGCTAGGCAGGTACCAAAAAAAAAAAAAAGAAGAAGCAGCAGCAGCAGCTAAATGATCTTAGGTAATAAAAAAAAAAAATGATTGTTTTTATCAATGAAAAAAGAACAAGGCAGAAACTCCAAGCAGAAGAAAATGTCTATAATAAAGTCAAGGTGTAAATAGGAACCTAAATAAATGCCATGATTTTAAGCAATTGATGAATATAAGAAAAAGAATCCAGTTGAACTTGACATTCTTCTTTGAACATCATAGGTTCTGCATCTAATCACATACTGCTCTGCAATAAATGGTATTTACAAATCATTAGACACTTCTACAAATACATATATAGACCAATCAGCAAACAACAGACATAGAAGGGAAAAAGCAGAATCAAAGGGAAATGAGGCCAGGTGCAGTGGCTCACTCCTGTAATCCTAGCAGCTTGAATCACAGGTTCAAAGCCAGCCTCAGCAACTCGGCAAGGCCCTAAGCAACTTAGCAAGACCCTGTCTCAAATAAAAAAGGTCAGGGGATGTGGCTCAGTGGTTAAGTTCCCCAGGATTCAATCCCCAGTACCAAAAAAGAGAGAGTGTGTAAGACAGAAGACAAGGAAAGGTAGGGAAATGCAATACAAAACTCAAGTTTAAACAGTAAGACCAGAATCATAAATAGAAGAGGGAGCCAGCAACCAGTAGACAGACCAAAGGATAAAAACAAAGCAGGTTAGGAACAATCCAGAAAACTGTCAAGATGACTTCATCTTACCAAAAGATTCTGTTTTATAGGACAAATACATTTTCTAATTCTGGCGTATTGTGTTGTTTACTATTGTTTGTTTTCTCAGTTTATGATTGGCATCTTGTGAATAATGATGATTTCATTGTAATAGTAACATTAAGTAGGGAAAGACAATTTATGCCCAAAACATAGATAAAACATATTTAAATACTTCCATGGCTAAGATGACCCAACATTGTAAAGAAGCCAGTTCTTCCTCGTTTTTTTTTTTTTTAATTTGGCATAATCTAATACCTATCTCCAGAAATAATCTAGAAAAATACCTCAGTCATTAAGCACTAAAACAGTGTGACGTGGTGCATGAATAGACCATTGGAACAGAGTTTAAAGTGTCTAGAAATAAATCATATACTTATGGAAGTTTAGCACATGATAAAGATAGCATCAGTAGAGAAAAAAAGTCTCTCAGTACACGATGTTGTTACAGGATAGTCATCTTGGGAGGAAATGTGTTGAATCCATACCTTTCACCATGAGCCAGGATAAATTTCAAACAGACTGAAGATCTAAATGTTTATAAAAGTGAAGGAAAAAAAGAAAACATAAAAATTAAGGAAAACATGCAGAATGTCATAAAAGAAAATCGACATGTTAAGCTACATTATAATCAGACGTTTTGCATAGCGAAAAAAAGACATAAACTAAAAAAATTGCCACTCAATGATATAGGGCTAATTTCCCTTGAATGAGCAGAATCATAGGTTCAAAGCCAGCCTCAGCAACAGCTCCTTGAAATGTATAAGAAAATGACCATTCACCCAGTAGAAAAATAGGCCAAGGAGATCAACAGAAAAGGAAATATCCTTAAATATATGTAAGGCTGCAAAATAAACATACCTAAATACTTGTCATACTGGCAGAAATCCAAAAAGGTAACACAAGCATACATTTTATCAATTAGCAAACTGAAGCTTATTGAACCAGAGGAGGCTGCCTAAGTTTACCCAGTTAATAATAGCATAAAAAATAAATGTGTCAGGGCTGGGGCTGTAGCTCAGTGGTAGAGCACTTGCCTCACACATGTGAGGCACTGGGTTCAATCCTCGGCACCACATAAAAATAAATAAATAAATAAAAGGTATTGTGTCCATTTACAATTAAAAAAAATTTTTTTAAATAATAATAGATGTCTTTGACTTCTAGCCTAATACTGAAATATTCTACTACATGTGCTTGACTCTGTGTGTTCAGTATATGATGACATTATAGGTATTAGTTAAAGTGGCATTTTCTTTGTTCAAATTTACCATTGATATAAAAGGGATCCAAACATAATAAAACTTAAAAATGTGTTCTAAATGTTATTTTGGTATCCACTCTAGCTATATGATCCTAATAGGGATTTTACAGAATCTTCTTGTTTTTAAATGTTCCTTACCTGGATTTCAGAAACCATGCTAATACTACTAATACTGTCAGATGAACAAAAATACTGCTGTGATCCTAAAACCCCAAATTGGGGTTATCCTACTCTCAATAAGGCAAAAACATGAATTTCCCTTCTAATCTCCTGACTAGCATCAGGGGTGATCTGCAGGCTGGACATGGTAGCACACACCTATAATCTCATTGACTTGGGAGGCTGAGGCAAGAGGATCACAAATTCGAGACCAGCCTCAGCAACTTAGTAATAAAAATAAAGATAAAAATGTCTCAAAAAAAGGACTGGGGATGTGGCTCAGTGGTTAAGCGCTTCTGGGTTAAATTCCTAGTACCAAACAATGGGTGATCTGCATCCTATACCTGCTCTGACGCCAGCCACAGACGAAAGCCTCCTCTAGGACACTTGGGGGCCAAAGCCCTCTGCCTCCCACACTCTCAACTCCTTCCCTTTTTCTTTTCTCATCACCATCCCCTCTCCCCTAACAAATATAACCTCTAACTAACCTCTCCTTTACTGTATTTATCTGTAAAATGCCAGTACATTGTGTTCAAGGTAATTTTTTTCCAATTATTTCATGTCAAGACAGAAAAGTTATGGCTAGTGAAAAGATGTTATTTCCGATAGAAAGTTCATTTGCAAGATGGTAGTGGGGAGGGGAGTCTCATGAAAACAAAAGGGAAACCAATGGAATAGAGAAGGGGGGAACCAAGGGGAGGAAGAAGTTGAGAGAAAGAGGGGGGGAACGAAAGTTCTTCATTTGATAGGCTGGGACCTCATCTACCCTTCCTTTCTGCTTATTTTGGTGAATAGAACAGGAGCTAAAATAAAATCTACCATAACACCAGACATGATTAACAGTGACTCAGTATATAACTTCACTGTAGAGGAAAACATAACTAATATAATCTTGGAAGGGAAAAAAGGGGGTCCCCAAAAGGCCTAAACAATAGTATATGAGTTTGGTAATTTCTGAAACTATGCATATTCTCATGTGCTTGGACCAAGCCAGCCCAGCACTGCTTCTTCCAGCTCCTCTCCTGGCCCTAAAATCTATTAAGGTTATGTGGCTTAAACTCGGCAGCTCTGTTTTAAAATACCCACTCAAGCTAGATGGTTCTAAATAGAACTAATGACAGCCAGAAAAGAAAGGCCTGTAGGAACTTGCTCTGACACAGAGCTAATGTCTATAAACAGATTAGTAGCAGAGAACAGAGTATCTTTCTATTGCCATAAGGTTTGTGTCTTGGCATGAAGATGAAATAAAATAATAGGAAAAAATTACCTAGTATATAGCCCATCACTACTCTGCAGATAAATAAGGTAAAGGAGAGTTTAGTCTGTCATCTCTCCATATATTTGTGTTTAATGAATCAGTTTAGTAATTAAGTATTGTGCTAATGTTTGTCTCAGAGGGGAAATAATGCACAGAATAGACTTGCAAGAAGGAATGGGTGAAAATTCTGATCTGAATTCGTCAACAAGTTTAGCAACAATGGGCAACTGAAGGGCTGAGGAGATGGCTCAGAAGTATAGTCCTTGCCTAGCATATGGAAAGATCTGGGTTCATTTCCCAGCACCACAAGAAAGAAAGTAACTGAAGCCATTTATCATTTGTAAAAGGATAAGGGAATAAAACAAGTAAACAAATCCTGAAGTATGTTATTAAACTTACTGTTTGAACTGGTGATTAGTAGCCAAGAAAAAATTATTTGGGGTTCTTTTTTTTTTTCTACCATCTTCATATAAGATTTCATAAAGGACTTGGTATAGTTTAAAAGGGAGCAACAAATATTAAACATCTAAATAATCTAAACAACAAATGTGTAGAAAACACACCACACCAATTACCTCACAGTCTCTGGGTGTGAGATACAGGTATCACACAGGCGGATGCTCCACAGGTGATTCCAATGTGCAGACAATGTGCAGAACCATTAGAGTATAGTTGTCATACTAAAAGTAATGTCAAATTTGTGATTGTAAGATCCGTGTGTGTGATGATTGTACATTAATATTTTGTTGTCTTTACAACTTTCCTCATTTATGTAGTATAATTACATCAAATATTTCTTCTACTTAAAGAAAAGTAAGTAAATATTTTAACATCAATCATCATTTGTCTCTTTGCCAAAATCATACTTGTCATTTTCTTGTTTTTGTATATCAACAGGAATTGGCAGCAATGAAACAGATTCTCATTAGTATGCGTAGTAAACAATCTGAAAACAACTTACTTCTTACTAAAACAGAATCAAAAAATCTGACAGAAAATGAGACATCAAAGACTTTGAAAATGCCTAAAGAACATGAAGACAATATATTTATACCCAAGCCAACACTCTTTGTAAGTACAATTAAAAATATGTATAATTTCATTTCTGATTTTCACTAAATATATTGTAGTTAAATTTTTTCTTTTCATTCATGTTGGCTTTAAACTAATTTTAATAGTTTTATGCAAGGGCCTTGAAAGATCTGAATTCATCCTTTTTTTCAGTGTGTATCTTATCTCTCTTACAGATGATACTTGGATTTTATGTTTCTAGTTAACATATTGGACTCGCCCAGAAATTATCCTAAATGTGACACTTTCTTTCCCCCGCCTCCAGGGACTAATTATAGGGGAATCAGAAATGCATTGTGTATAATGTAGTCATTTATGTAAGAATAAAAAGGCTGAAAAATAGCACCTGTTCCCTCTTATTTGTAAAATAATATATTTTGTTCTGAGTCCCTCATGAAGTATAAAAACCAATCATATTAACATAAACTGAAATGCATTGTTAGGTAGACATGTATATGCACAGAAATTAGTCAAAGAAAAAGAAATAAGTAAATTTTGTATTAAAAGAGAAATTAAGAAATATTAAATTATATACTTAAATAATAAATGGAGATAAAAAAGCAACAGAATCAAAATAGTAACATTATTAAATATTTTACTTCTATATGGCTTCCCAGTTATGCCTTCATTTCTCAGTGATTTTTACCTTCTAAACATAGAGAATCAAAGGCAGAAAGATTTTTTCTGATATTCTGATTCAGTGAGTCTCCAGAATTTTAATTTTAAAAAAATTTCCTAGATGAGCATAACAATAAGTATGGGAACTTCTGATCTAACGCATTCATTATACATGCAGATAATGCTACTCAAGATCATGATTGTGTAATTCAACCTCCTTTTTATTTTTTTAATCTCATTTTTTAATAAATGAGAGAAAGTTGCGATCTCAATCAAATAAAGAACAGCTGTACGGATCCACTCGGCAGTAATGGAGACTAAGCTGACAGGAAAGAGAAAGCAAGAAACTTCTGCTGACCAGCCTGGACACAAGGCAGCTCCAGGGATTCAGCAGCCCTGTCCCGGATCTTTTCCTCTGCAGTACATCAGCTTCTCTTTGTTTCTCTCCTGGTTTCTGCTTACTCACAGTTTCCACTTCCTCATTGCCTTGTTCATGGCCCTTGTCTTGAGACATCTTTCTGTGCATCCTTTCCATATCTGCTGTCTTGGAACCTAGCTTTTGCTGCATTTTTCAGGACGAAGAATCACATTGGCGCAGCTCCCCCTCACTGGGTGGTACTCTCTTTTGGGCAAGACCTCCTAAAATCATTAGTCAGCCAGCAGAATGACTGCCCTTACTGGTGAACAGGTTCACATGGTACCAAATTTAGCTACTTAGTGCTATTTTTTTAGGGGGACTATGGCTAGGTTTTCCTCAGAAAGTGGGCTGGAATTATGGTGACTGTTATATTGTAATCTACAGGAAGAAGGCAGACCAAATGCATAAACAATGAGAAAATAAGCTCCAATGAAAACCACAAGATAGAGTCGAATATTTAAAACTTATCACAACTCTCGCAGCCAGGTGTGGTGGTCCACACCTGCCATCCCAACAACTCTGGAGGCTGAGACAGGAAGATTCCAACTTTGAGGCCAGTCTGGGCAACTTAAGGAGACACAATATAAAAATAAAAAGTTAGAAGGCTGGGGGGGTAATTTAGTGCTAAAGCACCCCTGGGTTCAGTCCCTAGTACCAGAGGGAAAAAATTCCCTGATCCTTCTCTTTCCAAGCAGTAATAACCTACTCCTTTTGAACCTGCTTTTCCACATTTCTGACTTTAACTTGGTAACCTGATTGTGATTTCCTGAAATCCCGAGTGCAGCCAGTACATGAATAAGAGTAAGATTTCCCAGTATCTCAAGATCAGGTTATGCAGTGAGGATAAAACTTAAGAAGAGTCACTATATAAAGTGTTAATTAGGTTGTTTTCATGTTTTCTTTTTGCTTCTCTGTATTTTCTATTTTGTTTTCTGATAAAGTTTATTATTTTATAATAAGGGAACATTTTCAAAGAGGTTTATGAGTTTATCTGCTCTCATTAAAACTGAGAGGTGGGCTGGGGATATAGCTCAGTTGGTAGAGTGTTTGCCTCACATACACAAGGCCTTGGTTCAATCCCCAGCACCAAAAACAAACAAACAAACAAACAAACTGAGAGGTGATACTATAGACCTTTCAAATCAAGATTATGTACTAATGCAAAGTTATTAAGTGGACCAGGTGGTAGCACACACCTATAATCCCAGCACCTCAGGAGGCTGAGGCAGAAAGATCATGAGTTTGAGGCCAGCCTCAGCAATTAGTGAGACCCTAAGCAACTTAATGAGACCCTGTCCCAAAATATTTTTTTAAAGGGGGTGGGGGGGGCTAAGGATGTGAATCAGTGCTAAAGAGACTCTGGATTCTATCTCTAGGACCCAAAAGAATTAGTAATGAGGTTTATGTAATTAATACACTCTCAGCCTGTTTTTATCTATAAATTAGGAGGAAATTATATGAAATTCATTCTGGACTTTCTGTTCTAACATTCTGTGATTCACTTTGGACATCAATTTTTTTTTTTTTTTTTTTTTAAAGAGAGAGGAGAGGGAGGGGGAGAGAGAGAATTTTTTAATGTTTATTTTTTAGTTTTCGGCAGACACAACATCTTTGTTTGTATGTGGTGCTGAGGATCGAACCCAGGCCGCACGCATGCCAGGCGAGCACGCTACCACTTGAGCCACATCCCCAGCCCTGGACATCAATTTTATTTATTTGTTTGTTTATTTATTTATTTGCAGTGTTGGAGATTTAACCCAAGACCTCATATATACTAGACTGATATATCAGTTTTTATACTCTACTGCTTAACTATACCACCAGCTCTTTTTTTTTTTTTTTTTTTGAGACAGTCATTAAGTTGCCCAGGCTGGCCTTGAACTGGCAATCCTCCTGCCTCAGTTTCCTGAGTAGCTGTGATTATTGGCATGCCCCACCACACCTGACTATCTTTTCAATATTCTCTAGTTTCCCTGACAATACTTGTATTTTCTAAATTGTTAATAACAAGGAATTTATGATGCAAGTACTTGAAAAAAGATACAATCATTTCATAATCTTATGGTTTTGTGACTAAAATGGAAACATTTCTAATTTACTTCCGGATCCTTTGGCTAACATTTGTTGTTGGTATTTTTTTTTAATTTGTTCTTTTTAGTTATATATGACAGTAGAGTCTATTTTGACATATTTATACAAACATGGAATATATCTTATACTAATTAGGATCCCAGTCTTGTGGATGTTCATGATGTTGAGATTCACTGTGAAGTATTCATTTGGTACATAGGAGAATTATATCAGATTCTTTCCACTGTGTTGTTGGCATTTTAATTGATATTAAATTCAAAGATAGATGAATGATCTGGGCATGGAGGCTGAGGTTGGAAGATGGTGCGTTCAAAGCCAGCCTCAGCAAGTTAGCAAGGCCCTGAGTAACTCAGTAAGATCCTATTTCTAATTAAAATATTAAAAAGGGATATGGATGTGGCTCAGTGGTTAAGTGCCCCTGGGCAGTACCAAAAACAAAAAAAAAGATGGAATAATGGACGCATTTTGTTTGGGGGGCGGGGAGTGCCAGGGATTGAATCCAGGGGCACTTAACCTCTAAGCTACATCCCCAGTCATTTTTATGCTTTATTTTTGAAACAGGGTCTTTCTAAGCTCCTAAAGGCATTGCTAAATTTCTGAGGCTGTCTTTGAACTTGCAATCCTCCTGCCTCAACCTCCCAAGTCACTGGAATTATAGACATGCACCACTGCGCCCAGCAAATGCATGCATATTTATCCATTGAAAATATGAGGGAAAAGATTTGCTCCCAAGATGTAGAAGCTTTCTATTCACCTCACAGATTGTTTCTTTTGCTGAGAAAAAAAAAAAAAAAAAAACTTTTTAGTTTGAGTTCATCCCATTTATTGATTCTTGATTTTAATTCTTGTGCCACAGGAGTCTTATTAAGGAAATTGGGGGGGCTGGGGATGTGGCTCAAGCGGTAGCGCGCGCTCACCTGGCATGTGTGCGGCCCAGGTTCAATCCTCAGCACCACATACAAACAAAGATGTTGTGTCCGCCGAAAACTGAAAAATAAATATTAAAAAATTCTCTCTCTCTCTCTCTCTCTCTCTCTCTCTCTCTCTCTCTCCAAAAAAAAATCATTACTTTAAAAAAAAAGAAAAAGGAAATTGGGGCCTAATCCCACATGATGGAGATTAGGGCTTACTTTTTTTTCTATTAGACAGAGGGTCTCTGGTTGTATTTCTAAGTCCTTGATCCATTTTGAGTTTTGTGCATGGTAAGAGATAGGGGTTTAATTTCACTTTGTTGCATACGGATTTCCAGTTTTCCCAGCACCAATTGTTGAAGAGGCTATCTTTTCTCCAGTGCATGTTCTTGGCACCTTTGTCTAATATAAGATGATTGTAGTTTTGTGGGTTAGTCTCTGTGTCCTCTATTCTGTACCATTGGTCTATCAGTCTGTTTTGGTGCCAATACCATGCTGGTTTTGTTACTGTTACTCTGTAGTATAGTTTAAGGTCTGGTATAGTGATGCCATCTGCTTCACTCTTCTTGCTAAGGATTACTTTAGCTATTCTGGGTCTCTTATTTTTCCAGATGAATTTCATGATTGCTTTTTCTATTTCTATGAGGAATGTCATTGGAATTTTGATCAGAATTGCATTAAATCTGTATAGTGCTTTTGGAAGTTTGGTCATTTTGATAATATTAATTCTGCCTATCCAAAAGCAAAGTAGATCTTTCCATCTTCCAAGGTCTTCTTTGATTTCTTTCTTTAGGGTTCTGTAATTTTCATTATATAGATTTTTCACCTCTTTCTTTAAGTTGGACTCCCAAGTTTTTTGTTTGTTTGTTTTGAGGCTATTGAGAATGGAGTAGTTTTCCTCATTTCCCTTTCTGAGGATTTGTCACTGATATTCAGAAATGCCTTTGATTTATGGGTGTTGAAGTTAGCCAATCCCAAAAAAACAAATGCTGAATGTTTTCTTTGATATAAGGAAGCTGATTATAGTGGGGTAGGGAGAGGGAGCATAGGAGGAATATACGAACTCTAAATAGGGTAGAGGGGTGGGAGGGGAAGGGAGGGGGCATGGGGTAATTAATGATGGTTGAATGTGATGATCATTATTATCCAAAGTACATGTATGAAGACATGAATTGGTGTGAATATACTATGTATACAATCAGAGATATGAAAAATTGAGCTCTATATATGTAATAAGAATTGTAATACATTTAGCTATTATAGATAGATAGATAGATAAGTTTTTTTTTAAAAAAAAAAGAAAGAAAATATGAGGGAAGCACACACAAAACTACTATTAACCAGGCAGTGGAATTGGAACAGACCTATCATAAAGGAGAGAGAAATAAGAGCTTGACATTTTTACTTGCTTATGAATACTTTGTAGAGTGCATGTGATATTTACTTATATACGAAGACAAGTCTAAAAGGTGCCTTTTATAGAAAACCTGTGGTCAGTGAAACCATAGGTGACACCAACAAAGACTAGATTAAACCACAGAATATAAGTGCCTTCAGGACAGAAGTTCAGCACATAAACAAAGCAGATACTCAATAAATATTTGCTGAGAAGGAAGAAAAGCAGTTACTTGTCTCTCTCATTTGGCTATCTTCTTAGCTCCTCAAACTCTATCCTGAGTGTGATGTTAAACTGGGCCATAGGGAAGTGAAAGCGGCAACTCCAAGATATAGTGAGGATTACTTCTGCCACCAGCACAACCACTTCAGTTGCTCTCATTCCCACTAATCATCTGCTTTTTCCTCTCAAGATAGCTTTTAGCTGAAGTAGGCTTTTTGTCTAGCCTCTCTTTTCTATAAAAACCTGGAACTGTTCTAATCCCTGTAGAGCAACTTTCCCTTTTCCTTCCTAAACACCATGTAAACATCTTTCTAAGCATTTTTCACTGGTTTTCTGCTGCCTCTTATTCCAAAATGTCATCATACCTAGGATTCTCATCATTGTCACTGTTTTATTAATTCCTCAATCATTCTTAGCCTTTTCTCCAAGTAGACTGTAAGCGTTGAAAACAAAAAAGAGCCTTAGGCTACAAGTAAGATAGGGAACGAATGACAGTGCAGCACCAGTGTATAAAGGTGAATTACAGTGAGTTGGTGATGGGGTGCAGATCTTGACTTGGATTGGTTTACTTGTTGGAGTAAATTAAGTTTATGTAATTAATACATAACTAGTACATGAACCACACGTTTCTCTAGAGGTGCTTTAGAAGGATGTATGTAGTCATCTGGAAGAAAGAAAATATTCAGATAAGTACAATTCAGTTCAACAGGTGTGTACTAACTGATATAAGAATCTACACTAGGTATGACAGAATATTTGATCATTAGATGGGTCTGTTTTAAAGATGCTGCTTCTTGCTGGACAGGGTGGCACATGATTGTAACTCCAGTGATTCAGGAGGCTAAAGCAGGACATTCACAAGTTGGAGACCAGCCTCAGTAACTAAGTGAGACTCCATCTCAAAAAATAAAAAGGGTAGGGAGCTGGACACAGTGGTACATGCCTATAATCCCAGGGGCTCTGGAGGCTGAGGCAGGAAGATCGCAAATTCAAAGGTAGCCTCAGCAATTTAGTGAGGCCCTAAGCAACTCAACAAGATCCTGTTTCTAAATGAAATATAAAAAGGTCTGGGGATGTGGCTCAGTGGTTAAATTCCCCTGGATTCAATCCCAGTACCAAAAAATAAAAAGGCTAGAGATGTAGCTCAGGGGTAGAATGCACCTGGGTTCAATCCCTACTACGGCAACAACAACAACAAAATGGATGCTGTTCCTCTATATTCAAGAACAGGAAACAAATACAATAGTATTAAATTAAATTGGATGGCCTATTTTATAGGAAATGTAAATTGTTTATGAAAATTCAAAGAAACAATAGATACTATGGTGTTGGCAGACTCAGGCTATCTTATCAGAAAGAAAGAATTTGAGCTAGGCTTTAAAGAATGTATAGTATTTTGTCAGATTAAGATAAGAATTAGAAATTCCAAGGGCAAAGATAATACAACTTTTACAAAATATTTTGTAACTTGTGATCCTGTTATTTAGTAACAGGATGTCTAGTGTGTGTTTTCTATATCTAGAGTTTTCTTGTTTCTTACTACATTCTTATGTCTGCCTTTAATCATTTCACCACTCATTAATACTTTCCCTTAAGACAAAAGGAAAATAAAAGTAGATAGGTTATAAATAGTCAAATTAATAGAGACTGAAGATGGAATGATGGTTGCCAGGGACTGGGGGGCAATGGGGACATATTGTTTAAGGGAAAGAGCTTCAGTATGCAAGATGAAAGAGTTCTGTGGATGGGTAATAGTGTAAATGTACTTGATGCCTCTAATTTATACTTTTAAAAATGATTAAGATGGGGCTGTGGCTCAGTAGTAAAGTGTTTTCCTGGCAAGGGAAAGTCCTGGATTCA